CTCGGGGTACTTACAGGATAGAGCGAAGCGGCAGGGCGATCTGAGGCGAGGGGAGCGTGGGGGAAGGTGATTGGAAAAGGTGCCCTAACATTCTGCGCAGGCGTAACTAGGCTACAGGCTCCTGCACGTTCTGAGGGTGGAGTTTTGGGCCATCTGATGTCAAAGGTCACTGGGCTCAAACACTCGCGCATGCCCAGTTGGAGGGTGGGTGGTCCAGTCTTAACGAGCTCAGCTCCATTAGACACAGCTGATTCCAAACTCCTGCAAAGTAACTTGGGCAAACATCTTACTGTTTCAGCTACGAGCGCTTGGAGGCCATGCAAGCCTTTTGTAGATGACCTTGATTAGTGAAGGCAGGTGAAATGGATTTGACTACCACCTACAATTTCACAAGGACTGTGCCTCACCTGCCTTTGGGCCCCTGTACCTCCTGCTGTGGCTTTACACACGGTAGGTCCTATGGTTGAGAAAAGAAAAACGAAAGAATGGAAAGTGAGAATGAGAGGCAGATAATGGTGTTAACAGCTTTATATGATTCAAGATGTCCTGAGAAGAACCCTCCTGGCCCTCAAAATCTCTTTTCTGGGTCTGCTTCTATCTGTGACATTCTGCCATAATCAAGGAGGTGTGCAAACACAAACAGCATTGGGAAAATAATCTTCCCTAGCCTGTAGCTATTAGTGTAGGAGGGAATGACTTCTAAGAGGTGAGTTTCTGAGCAGAAAGAGATTGCAAAAAACTGGGATGTGATGATGCCCACAATGAGTTGTCTCAGGCACAAGGGAAAGAGCCACAGACATTGAGTGTCTCAGTATGTAGATAAGAGAAGGGTAAGGGAAGGGGATGAGGGAACTTAAGGCAAATTTCTTTACATCTTAAGTGTGTCTAGAACTAGCCCAGAAGAAGAAAAAAATGTGATTATTCTGCATATCCCATTGATGCATTTTTGGAATCCTGGTGCTTATTTTGGTATCAACTTTATGTGTGGATATCAGGGTTATACTAACTAGTCTAATCCTCTTGGAAATGTGGGATCCAGTGAACCAAACTGGTGAAGCATTT